TCCTGATAAACTAATTCCAGTAGATGAATTCCGGACTTCACACACCCACATTCTCAGATCTAATTAGATTAACCTCCGGGGCCTTTGTGTCTTCTTGATAGCTTACCATTTTTAAGTGTCAAAATAAAACCTTATTTTTAAATATGGGTGGTGCTGATGAAACCGGTCTGAGTAATACTTGCAGGAAACACAGCACTAGCTTTGGCGAGGAAGTGGGCACTGCCTGAGAGGCGCATCCATATTTCACCCTTGTCCTTTGCAAACTGCACTGTGGCCCCCAACCAAGCACGGACCCCTACAGAACTCGCATTTACGGGGCTTAAAATTCAGGGCTTTTTAAAAAATTTATTTAGACAGGGTCTTACTACATAGCCCAGGCTGATCTCCAACTCAAAAGGATCCTCCTGCCTCAGCCTCCCGAGTGCTGGGATTACAGGTGTGTACCACTGTGCCTGGCCAAGATACCGTTTTATCACAAATGCAACATCTGTAGATTTTCAGAAGGTGTCATTTACCAAGTGAGGGCAACAGGCGTGTGGAAAGCACCCGTCACATCACCAAGGTGATGGTTTGTTTGGTTTTGAGCTAACCAGAACAGGCTGTGATCTAACGAGGCTGGGTGATGAAGAAAACTTGATTAATCTCTCTTCTGAGCACTAGTGTTTCACCCGCCACAGTTCCGGGGCACTGTCTCCTACCTTCACCAGAACACAACTCTCTGACGGGAGAATTAGGATCAGCAGAAAAGCTGAGAGCTGTTGTGAATGGTGGGCTCCAGTTCGCAGTCAAAGGCAGTCAGAAGGGCTAAGGATTCCCCAATCCCTGGGACTGTTAGGAGTTAACTACTTTCAGATTTAACATACACTTTTCAGGACCTCAGTGCGGTGGTACACACAGGAGGCTGAGGCAGGAGGATCACCACAAGCCTGAGGCCAGCCTGAGCTACATACTACCAAAATATATATGTAAGTCCTGGGTTCAGTCCTCAGCACCAAGAGTGCAACAAAAGCAAAAAATCCACGCACCCAGGCGGTGTATATTTGGGGGCAGAGGAGATGGGTTTCAGTAGTTCCTCCTCAGGGGCCCAAAAGGGTCCTAAAAGCCGGATTAGGGCTGAGGATGGACCCAATGGTACAGCCACTGCCTAGCCCGGGAGCTCCTGGGTTCGACCCCACACAGAAAAAAATAAATTCTACTGAAAACAACGTGCCTCGAAGCTGGGCACGATGGTGCAGGCCTGTGATCCCAATGTTTGGGAGGCTGAGGCAGGAGGATTGTTGCAAGTTCAAGGTCACGCTGGGCTTTATACCAAGACCCTGCCTCAAAAAAAAAAAAAAAAAGTTGCACATCAAGCAGGCAGGCAACCTTTTCCTCTGCTGACGACCCGAATTATTCCCAGGTCTCCCTAGGAGAGGGACCGGTCCAGCAGGGAGCTGCCTGAAAGCCTGCACCAGGGTTGTAAGCTAAGTTTCCAGGGGACTCTTGCACTTCCCGCTTCACACTAATAAGAAGGCTCCTAAAAACCGGAACTGACACCTCAGGAACCTGTCACCGCCTTCCAATAAGGAGGCAAGAAAAAAAATTCCAAGGTGGGGCAGGGGATGTGGCTCAGTGCCCCTCGCACACCTCACACGCACAAGATCCTGAGTTCTCGGCCCAATCCCCGGTACCGCAAAAACCAAACCAAACCAAAAACATTCCAGGGTAACACGCCTTCCTTGCCGCGCCTTTTCCCCACTGAGCAATCGCAGCCCCAAGTCAGTGGGTAGGCTGGCTGGCGGGGTGTGTGAGTGTGTGTGTGAGTGTGTGTGTGAGTGTGTGTGTGTGAGTGTGTGGGAGTGTGAGTGTGTGTGTGAGTGTGTGTGAGTGTGAGAGAGAGCAGGGGTGAGTGCGTGTGATGCTGGCAACCCCGCCGCTGAGCGACACCCGGCTGAGCGTTGTTAACCTCACACAGAAACAGAACCGTCTCTTCGGGCTCAGTGTTGCAGGCTGGGCTAAAATCTACTTCACCCGCGTCCACAGGAATACGCAGGCGCCTCACAGCGCATGTGCGGAAACTTTACCAGGGCTCACATTACAGGGGTCCCATCCCATACAAATTTTTTAACTCGGGGGCTGGGATATGGCTCAGAGGTAGTGTGCTTGCCTAGCATGCATAAGGGCCTGGGTTTGATTCCCAGCACCACACAAAGAAAAAGAGCAGAAAGCTCAGAAGGCTGAGGCAGGAGGATCACTGCAAGTCTGGGAAGTTCGGCGCCAACCTCGGTTACACAGGGTTCGAGACCAGCCTCACCTATACAGTGAGACCGTGTCTCAAAAACTTTTTAGATTTATTTCGTATTCCTTTTGGATTTTTGAGACAGAGTTTCACTATGTAGTCCAAGCTGGCCCTGAACTCTCTACGCAGTCCAAGCTGGCCTTCAACTTGAGATCCTCCTGCCCCAGCCTCCTGCTGGGATCACAGGTGTGTTCCACCACTCCTAGCTAAGAAAAAAACCTAACTGATTCAAAAACAATATTATGCTGAGCGTGGTGGTGCACGTCTGTAATCCTAGCACTTGGGAGGCTGAGACATGAGGATCACTTTAGTTTGAAGCCAGCCTGAACTGCAGAGACCCTGTCTCAAAAAAAGCAGTGCTATGAAAAGCTATATAGAAATCATTTTATTATAATCTAGTTATGTTAATATAGCTATTTCTGCTGTTTGGCCTCATACAAAAACAAAAAGCTCAGCTCAAATATAAACTAATCTGATAAAATTATTACAAGTTACACATTAGAATTGATTTGTACAGTTGTATAATTTCCTGACATTCTTCAATGTCTCAAAAGTTTCCTAAATGTGAAAGTTTACTCCTACAAACACTTTTGTTGTTGTTGTTACAACTGGGGAGTGAACCCAGGGCCTTCTCCCTGAGCCACATCCTCAGCCCTGTTTTTAATTTCCTTTGGGACAAGGGTCTTGTTAAACAACAAGTCGTCTGGGCTGGGGTCCAATTTGTGATGCTCCTGTCTCAGCCTCCCAGGGTGCTGCTGGGGTGACTGGTGTGAGCCACTGTGCTGGGCTCTGAGAAGGAATTTTTTAAAAGCAGAGAAAAAGTTTTTCACTGTCATGACAAGGCAGGATGTGGTTTCGGCATAGGCCTTTGATGCAAACACGCATTAGAAACCTGTCGTTTTTAAAAGCTTGTGTGGACTTTCAGCGAAGTCCTGAAATGTGTGTCAAGTGCAGGGCCTTGTGAGGGGCCTCGAGCGCTTGGTGTGCACCTTGCTCTGAGTAACTCGGCTCGACCTGCTTCCAGCACTGTGGTTCTGCTGAGCCGGGTGAGCAGCCTGTCATCAACTCATTACGCCAGGCCGGCCCGAAGCCACTGTAAGGGGAACCCTCAATCACCGGCCTGGCCAGGCCGCTGGTGCACCACACACCCCCGGCTGTGGGTCCGGGTGGACGGGCTCGTGGTGCAGCCACATCTCCTTCGGTACTCTAGGGCTTCTTTTCTAAATCTTAGAAACTACTAATAAAAAAAAAGGCAAGTGGTAACAGACATTTTGCTATTCCATGTGACTCTGCATTTAGCTTTAAAGCTCAAACTTTGAGCTAGGTGTGGTGGCGCACGCCTGTTATCCCAGCACAGGGTAGGCTGAGGCAGGAGGATCGCTGTGAGTCTGAGGTCAGTCTGAGCTACACAGAGTTCAAAGCTAACCTGGGAGACCCTGTCTCAAACACAACAAACCTAAAACAATTCATGTGTGCGCACACTTGGGTCTACAGAACTGCTCACTGGTTCACTGTTCCTCACAGAGCTACCAAGTGAAAACGGCCCAACGCTGCACACCGTTCTCCCTTCAAGTTTCCGACTCTTCCTGTTGTACAGGATTTCAAGCGTTAGTAGAAGTAAAGGCGCTATGGCCCCTCCTGTACTTGGTACCCGGCTTCGGTGGGTATCAATTCCGACCAATTTTGTTTCAGTGCCATCAGCCCAGGGCCACCTCAAATCATTGACTAGGAACCAAAGTTTCACATCATTCATACATATTGCAGTTCCTGTTTCTTTTTGCCTTATTTCAGACACAGCCTCCCTGTGTGGGCCAGGCTGGCCTAGAACTCGAGCGATCGCCCTGCCTCAGCCTCCTGAGTGCTAGGATGACAGGTGTGGGTCACCACACTCAGCAGTTCCCACTTATTTTCCAAACTCCTGTCTTTGCTTCCTTCCCACCGCTCCACTCTCAAAACAAAATGTGTGCAGAATAGGACAGGCAGTGGGAGCCCCCACTCCCAAGACTGAACCTAGGGCCTTCACACACAACGACATCCACCAGCCTTTGCAAAATTTCTGAGTGGGGTCTCACCAAGTCACTAAGTTCCTCAGGCTGGGCTGGAGCTGGCGATCCTCCTGCCTCAGCCTCCCTGAGTGCTGGGATGACAAGCCTGCTCTACCACGCCCAGCTCCACTGGAGCTCTTTTCTGTTTTCCCCCTGGAAATCCCTCCCTACAGCATCACCGTGAAACCTCCTTTCCTCTAGTTCCTAACTCACAGAAGCACACTGTTTTTCCCACCAGAATTCCATCTTCCTGCTTAAACAACCGGAAACAAAAATTTGTTTTCTTGATAGGCTACTGATTTCTCCGCCCCACTCAGTGATAACTAAGGAGGAAAGGGAGTGGGAGAAGGAAGATTGCTCCAGGGCATTTATAGGGGCAGATTTTTACTCACTGCATGTGTGCAAATATTGACGGCCATATGTTATTCTACAATGGATATTTGCAAACAGCAGCTGAAGCACTGTCACGAATTTCTTTGGACGGGGTGCTTTTAAACCACATTAATTTAAGGGAGTTACTGGCCTCAGGATTTAGTACTGATAACGATAACAGTACCTGCTTCAGAATCTAAGAAATGGTTATGTAAAAACAAAGCAAAAAGAAGAAAAATTAGAGAGGATGCGCCGTTTCTAATCGCTCCAACCTTGCTTTATTTTGACAGATCTCTTGACCTCACCTCGGACGACTCCAGGCACCCCACGACCCCACGGCCTGTCCGGCTCACCGGGAGACTGGCCCGATCCCGAGCCGCGGTCCCCGCCT